CGTTGACCAGACCACACACTACAAGGTGAAGGCTCGCCTCCTACCCTTCCCTAACACTCTCTCTCCATCTCCCACCGTTGACCAGACCACACACTACAAGGTGAAGGCTCGCCTCCTACCCTTCCCTAACACTCTCTCTCCATCTCCCACCGTTGACCAGACCACACACTACAAGGTGAAGGCTCGCCTCCTACCCTTCCCAAACACTCTCTCTCCATCTCCCACCGTTGACCAGACCACACACTACAAGGTGAAGGCTCGCCTCCTACCCTTCCCAAACACTCTCTCTCCATCTCCCACCGTTGACCAGACCACACACTACAAGGTGAAGGCTCGCCTCCTACCCTTCCCTAACACTCTCTCTCCATCTCCCACCGTTGACCAGACCACACACTACAAGGTGAAGGCTCGCCTCCTACCCTTCCCTAACACTCTCTCTCCATCTCCCACCGTTGACCAGACCACACACTACAAGGTGAAGGCTCGCCTCCTACCCTTCCCTAACACTGTCGCCTCCTACCCTTCCCTAACACTGTCGCCTCCTACCCTTCCCTAACACTGTCGCCTCCTACCCTTCCCTAACACTGTCTCTCCATCTCCCACCGTTGACCACACCACACACTAGAAGGTGAAGGCTCGCCTCCTACCCTTCCCTAACACTCTCTCTCCATCTCCCACCGTTGACCAGACCACACACTACAAGGTGAAGGCTCGCCTCCTACCCTTCCCTAACACTCTCTCTCCATCTCCCACCGTTGACCAGACCACACACTACAAGGTGAAGGCTCGCCTCCTACCCTTCCCTAACACTCTCTCTCCATCTCCCACCGTTGACCAGACCACACACTACAAGGTGAAGGCTCGCCTCCTACCCTTCCCTAACACTCTCTCTCCATCTCCCACCGTTGACCAGACCACACACTACAAGGTGAAGGCTCGCCTCCTACCCTTCCCTAACACTCTCTCTCCATCTCCCACCGTTGACCAGACCACACACTACAAGGTGAAGGCTCGCCTCCTACCCTTCCCAAACACTCTCTCTCCATCTCCCACCGTTGACCAGACCACACACTACAAGGTGAAGGCTCGCCTCCTACCCTTCCCAAACACTCTCTCTCCATCTCCCACCGTTGACCAGACCACACACTACAAGGTGAAGGCTCGCCTCCTACCCTTCCCTAACACTCTCTCTCCATCTCCCACCGTTGACCAGACCACACACTACAAGGTGAAGGCTCGCCTCCTACCCTTCCCTAACACTCTCTCTCCATCTCCCACCGTTGACCAGACCACACACTACAAGGTGAAGGCTCGCCTCCTACCCTTCCCCTAACACTCTCTCTCCATCTCCCACCGTTGACCAGACCACACACTACAAGGTGAAGGCTCGCCTCCTACCCTTCCCCTAACACTCTCTCTCCATCTCCCACCGTTGACCAGACCACACACTACAAGGTGAAGGCTCGCCTCCTACCCTTCCCCTAACACTCTCTCTCCATCTCCCACCGTTGACCAGACCACACACTACAAGGTGAAGGCTCGCCTCCTACCCTTCCCCTAACACTCTCTCTCCATCTCCCACCGTTGACCAGACCACACACTACAAGGTGAAGGCTCGCCTCCTACCCTTCCCCTAACACTCTCTCTCCATCTCCCACCGTTGACCAGACCACACACTACAAGGTGAAGGCTCGCCTCCTACCCTTCCCCTAACACTCTCTCTCCATCTCCCACCGTTGACCAGACCACACACTACAAGGTGAAGGCTCGCCTCCTACCCTTCCCCTAACACTCTCTCTCCATCTCCCACCGTTGACCAGACCACACACTACAAGGTGAAGGCTCGCCTCCTACCCTTCCCCTAACACTCTCTCTCCATCTCCCACCGTTGACCAGACCACACACTACAAGGTGAAGGCTCGCCTCCTACCCTTCCCCTAACACTCTCTCTCCATCTCCCACCGTTGACCAGACCACACACTACAAGGTGAAGGCTCGCCTCCTACCCTTCCCTAACATTGTCGCCTCCTACCCTTCCCTAACACTGTCTCTCCATCTCCCACCGTTGACCACACCACACACTACAAGGTGAAGGCTCGCCTCCTACCCTTCCCTAACACTCTCTCCATCTCCCACCGTTGACCACACCACACACTACAAGGTGAAGGCTCGCCTCCTACCCTTCCCTAACACTCTCTCCATCTCCCACCGTTGACCACACCACACACTACAAGGTGAAGGCTCGCCTCCTACCCTTCCCTAACACTCTCTCTCCATCTCCCACCGTTGACCAGACCACACACTACAAGGTGAAGGCTCGCCTCCTACCCTTCCCTAACACTCTCTCTCTCCATCTCCCACCGTTGACCAGACCACACACTACAAGGTGAAGGCACGCCTCCTACCCTTCCCTAACACTCTCTCCATCTCCCACCGTTGACCACACCACACACTACAAGGTGAAGGCTCGCCTCCTACCCTTCCCTAACACACTCTCCATCTCCCACCGTTGACCACACCACACACTACAAGGTGAAGGCTCGCCTCCTACCCTTCCCTAACACTCTCTCCATCTCCCACCGTTGACCAGACCACACACTAGAAGGTGAAGGCACGACGACGTTTCGGTCCGTCCTGGACCATTCTCAAGTCAATTGTCCTGTGGGCTCCCACCGTTCCTGTGGGCTCCCACCGTTCCTGTGGGCTTCAGGTCTGTACAAGAGCGTACGACAGGTCGATATATACTTTAGAACAGGAATTCGTACAACTGGTTAGAAATGTTAAAAAAGAGATAAGGAAAGCAAAAAGAAACTATGAAGTTCGCATAGCAGAGCAAGCAAAGACAAATCCTAAAGGGTTTTTTCAGTTATATCGTACTAAGACTAGGGAAAGGATAGGTCCATTAAAAACCGAGACAGGTCAAATAACAGATAGTGATGAAGAGATGAGTAGTATTTTTAATAAATATTTTGTATCTGTATTTACTAAAGAGGAACTTAACAATATGCCTTCAGCCGAACAAGTCTATGTGGGTGGGGACGAGGACAGGTTGACGAGTTTAGCAGTTACCAGGGAGGATGTTCTTAAACAAATAGTAAAACTCAAACCAAACAAATCCCCAGGGCCGGATGAAGTGTTTGCCAGGGTGCTTAAAGAATGCAAAGAGGAGCTTTGTGACCCACTGTCAACCATATTTAATAAATCAATAGAGTCAGGCAGAGTGCCAGAGTTTTGGAAAGTTGCTAATGTGATACCAGTTTTTAAGAAAGGAGATAGATCACTTGCGTCTAACTACCGACCAATTAGCCTAACGTCTATTGTGGGAAAGTTACTCGAATCTATAATAGCAAATAAAATTCGTCTTCATCTTGAAAAACATAAATTAATAATTGAGTCGCAACATGGTTTTATAAATGGCCGTTCATGTTTAACAAATTTGTTATCTTTTTATTCTAGCATTGTTGAGGCAGTTGATAGTGGTAAGGATTGCGATGTTGTATACCTTGACTTTAGCAAAGCTTTTGATACAGTGCCACATGAAAGACTGATTAAAAAAATAGAGTCTCATGGTATTGGGGGTGCTATATTAAGCTGGATTAGGGCATGGCTATACCAAAGGAAACAGAGAGTTAGTATAAATGGAATCAAGTCAGTGGGAAAATGTTGTAAGTGGAGTGCCTCAAGGCTCTGTCCTGGGACCTCTGTTGTTTATAATATATATAAATGATTTAGATTCAGGTTTGAGTAGCAACATTTGCAAATTTGCTGATGATACGAAAATCGGTAGGAAAATTAGTTCGGAGGAGGACTCACTATCACTTCAAGTTGATCTAGATATGGTTTTGAAATGGTCAAAGGATTGGCAGATGCAGTTTAATGCTGATAAATGCTGAGGCTGAAACAAATGGGCAGAGTTTCTTTGACCCTGATGCACCTGTTCATCTAACAGTAAAATAGGTACCTGGGAGTTAGACAGCTGCTACGGGCTGCTTCCTGGGAGTGTATAACAAAAATGAGGCCTAGTCAAGGACCGGGCCGCGGGGACGCTAAGCCCCGAAATCATCTCAAGATAACCTCAAGATAGATCACGTTATGCCTTCACAACTGGACGCTTAAGACCTGCCGGTGTGAGGTGCCTGCAGCTCTCTGGACTTGATATCTTAACGTGTTCTTGAAGTTGTCCCAGTAGTCTGTCCAGCGTTCGTGTAGAGTTTACCCACGAATACCCGTTCGTGTAGAGTTTACCCGCGAATACCCGTTTGTGTGTAGTTTACCCGCGAATACCCGTTTGTGTGTAGTTTACCCGCGAATACCCGTTTGTGTGTAGTTTACCCGCGAATACCCGTTTGTGTGTAGTTTACCCGCGAATACCCGTTTGTGTGTAGTTTACCCGCGAATACCCGTTTGTGTGTAGTTTACCCGCGAATACCCGTTTGTGTGTAGTTTACCCGCGAATACCCGTTTGTGTGTAGTTTACCCGCGAATACCCGTTTGTGTAGAGTTTACCCGCGAATACCTGTGTTTGCAGGTTTATAAAGCAACAAAGAGGATAGTGATTGTGATCTTGTGTGAATATTGCATTTAATGTCAAATTTAATGTTTGTCAATGTCAAATTTAATGTAATGTCAATTTGACATTAAGTGTTTAATGTCAAATTGATTTTAAATGAGTTTGCATTTGCGGTGATGAGGCGACTTGTGAGTGACGGGGAGAGAGTTGGGGTATATAGTGGTCTAGGAGACCATTAGCACAATATCCAGTGGTACATAAAACAATCCAACCCCGCCTAGAGTACTTAAAAAACATCACCTAAAACCTCTTGCACCTCAACAAAGCCCAACCTGCCTGCCCGTCTAACAGCCTGGTTGATCAGTCCAGCAACCAGGAGGCCTGGTCGACGACCGGGCCGCGGGGACGCTAAGCCCCGGAAGCACCTCAAGATTTATCAAAATTTAGCCCATCTTCACCAAAGAGTAGCAGAAGGTTCGCCCTCTGCAGTATGGTGTCTTCAGGCCACAAGTTAGAAAGGTTCGTGATAGCAGTTCGGTTATATAGACTACGTCTAGGATACAGATGCAACTGGGAGGTTGGTGAACCCAGAGAGTGGGAATGCATCTTCTGCCAAACAGTCACAGAAAAGCCACAACTTCACTATCTCCTGGAATGTGAAGCCACCAACGACCTTAGAAGAGCTTTGAGAGACCCTGAATCTTGCAGTAACCACCCTGAAGCCATCACCACAGCCACTCTTCTGGTCCAAAAAGGTGTCCAGCAGCTGGACACCCTCATAATTACTGTCAAGCAGTATCCTTCCCCGCGATAGCAGCCTGACAATTAAATGCGACCTCAGCACACTGTATACATTTACTGAACAAAAATTTTACCTATTACGGGCTATTCATGCCCATGCCACCTCTTGGGTGGCCTAATCTTCATCAATGAATCATTAGCGCAGTACTTGTTCGTGAGGGAGTGGGAAGACGCGTTGTCCGCGCTCCAATAAAATCTCAAAATATACTTTTTTTTTTTTTTTAGGGTTACAGTCATTGATTACTAATCAGTCACCACGAAGTGTATAGTGACCCGTAGGAAAGTTGAATACAGTAATTAACAATGGAACTGTCGGAAATCCGACACACAACATAAGTTACACATTAAAGAAATCAGAGAACGGGTATTCAGTGACGTCATCCAACAACACGTAATATATTCAATTCTTATTTCTCTTAAACAACAGTCTAGTGTTTAAACTTAATAACAAAAAGTGTTCACTAGGACTGAATATAATTACCAACACCAGGAATATAGCTTAACTCTCTATTCCTTAATCATAAATAGAACCCCCAAATATTTTAGAACGTCACCCCTAGGGTGGCGTCGGCACGGACAAAACACACTGATAAGAAACGACTCACGGTAAAGGTGGCTCCTTACAGCCGGCGGTAAAGGTGGCTCCTTACAGCCGGCGGTAAAGGTGGGTCCTTACCAGCCGGCAGTAAAGGCGGGTCCTTACAAGCCGGCGGTAAAGGCGGCCCCTTACCAGCCGGCGGTAAAGGTGGGTCCTTACCAGCCGGCGGTAAAGGCGGCCCCTTACCAGCCGGCGGTAAAGGTGGGTCCTTACCAGCCGGCGGTAAAGGCGGCCCCTTACCAGCCGGCGGTAAAGGCGGCCCCTTACCAGCCGGCGGTAAAGGCGGCCCCTTACCAGCCGGCGGTAAAGGCGGCTCCTTACCAGCCGGCGGTAAAGGTGGCTCCTTACCAGCCGGCGGTAAAGGTGGCTCCTTACCAGCCGGCGGTAAAGGCGGGTCCTTACCAGCCGGCGGTAAAGGCGGGTCCTTACCAGCCGGCGGTAAAGGTGGGTCCTTACCAGCCGGCGGTAAAGGCGGCTCCTTACCAGCCGTCGGTAAAGGTGGCTCCTTACCAGCCGGCGGTAAAGGTGGCTCCTTACCAGCCGGCGGTAAAGGCGGGTCCTTACCAGCCGGCGATAAAGGCGGGTCCTTACCAGCCGGCGGTAAAGGTGGGTCCTTACCAGCCGGCGGTAAAGGCGGCTCCTTACCAGCCGGCGGTAAAGGCGGCTCCTTACCAGCCGGCGGTAAAGGCGGCTCCTTACCAGCCGGCGGTAAAGGTGGGTCCTTACCAGCCGGCGGTAAAGGCGGCTCCTTACGAGCCGGCAGTGAAGGTGGGTCCTTACAAGCCGGCGGTAAAGGCGGCTCCTTACCAGCCGGCGGTAAAGGCGGCTCCTTACCAGCCGGCGGTAAAGGCGGCTCCTTACCAGCCGGCGGTAAAGGCGGCTCCTTACCAGCCGGCGGTAAAGGCGGCTCCTTACGAGCCGGCGGTAAAGGCGGCTCCTTACGAGCCGGCGGTAAAGGCGGCTCCTTACCAGCCGGCGGTAAAGGCGGGTCCTTACCAGCCGGCGGTAAAGGCGGGTCCTTACCAGCCGGCGGTAAAGGCGGGTCCTTACCAGCCGGCGGTAAAGGTGGGTCCTTACCAGCCGGCGGTAAAGGTGGGTCCTTACCAGCCGGCGGTAAAGGCGGCTCCTTACCAGCCGGCGGTAAAGGTGGGTCCTTACCAGCCGGCGGTAAAGGTGGCCCCTTACCAGCCGGCGGTAAAGGCGGCCCCTTACCAGCCGGCGGTAAAGGTGGGTCCTTACGAGCCGGCGGTAAAGGCGGCCCCTTACCAGCCGGCGGTAAAGGTGGCTCCTTACCAGCCGGCGGTAAAGGTGGCTCCTTACCAGCCGGCGGTAAGGGTGGCGCCTTACGAGCCGGCGGTAAAGGCGGCTCCTTACCAGCCGGCGGTAAAGGTGGGTCCTTACGAGCCGGCGGTAAAGGCGGCTCCTTACCAGCCGGCGGTAAAGGCGGCCCCTTACCAGCCGGCGGTAAAGGCGGCCCCTTACCAGCCGGCGGTAAAGGTGGGTCCTTACGAGCCGGCGGTAAAGGCGGCCCCTTACCAGCCGGCGGTAAAGGTGGGTCCTTACGAGCCGGCGGTAAAGGTGGCGCCTTACGAGCCGGCGGTAAAGGCGGCCCCTTACCAGCCGGCGGTAAAGGCGGCCCCTTACCAGCCGGCGGTAAAGGCGGCCCCTTACCAGCCGGCGGTAAAGGCGGCCCCTTACCAGCCGGCGGTAAAGGCGGCTCCTTACCAGCCGGCGGTAAAGGCGGCCCCTTACCAGCCGGCGGTAAAGGCGGCCCCTTACCAGCCGGCGGTAAAGGTGGCTCCTTACGAGCCGGCGGTAAAGGCGGCTCCTCCCGGCAAAACTCGTTAAGACACCCAGATTACGTGTCAACAAGCGAGCAACAACCACAACAATGCTTAAATATCCGACTGCCTTACATTCTGATATTATTTGATGCACCGTATAATATAGATTAAGTAACCGGTTATTAGCATGAGAAAAACACACACACACAGTGAGTAGCATTTAACTCAGCTCTTTACTACATGCACAAATAATGTCACATGTACTTTATATGTTAATGTGCTTTACTAATGTTAAACCTCCCAAACAGGTAATTGTGATGGAAGTTACTGTTGCAAGCTGAGCTGGTCCCCAACATCAGTGTGAATATCAAGCTACCAGCATGCCCAGGCAGCCAGTTTATGCACTGTGAGTACATGTAGCACTGAGCACACCCTTAGCTGATGTTTGGAGAATGTCAGCCTTAGCAGGGCCCCACCTACAGTATCAGATAAGGGCTAGAAGTCTTTAAAACTGTAGTATAATAGTAGATTAGACCACCATATGTGGTATGATTTATAATTTAATTTGTAACAATTGTAATGTAATGTAATTTGTAAGGTAAACATTAGCTTACAGTTATCCACTCAGTGGATAACATTTGTCCCTCCCATTGTGTGTGATAAGTTTTAGCAGGTTGAATTATAATATACAGTCCACTAAATAACTAAGAAAATTCTATATAAATAAAAATGTCAATGTTCGTTTGTTCAAAATCGCTAATCTCCGAAAGTTCTTCACCGATTGCTTTGAAATTTTCACACAACGTTGCATTCGAATAGGCGCGTCTTTTTATTTATCTGCTATATACATGCTTCACCTTTGACAGGGAAAAGCATTTTTTTTTTTAAACAGCGCCATCTGTTGGACGTAAGAGCAACACACGCTGTAATCTCCAAAAGTTCTTCTCCGATTACTTTGAAATTTTGACACAACGTTGCATTCGAATAGGCGCATCTTATATACCTACTATATAGATGCCACCCCTGTGACAGGTAAAAACATGCATTTTTTGAAAAACAGCACCATCTGTTGCACATAACGGCAACATGCACGCTATACTAAATATGTCACGAATTCTATTTCAATGTTTCCAATTGCATTGATAAATTTTATTTTCATAGATTTCGATTTGTTTTATTTTTTATTGAATTATTTTGTGTGACATTGTGTTGGAATTGAGCTGTGTTGTTTACCACACCGTTCATTTCATAAGTATAAGTATAGATGCCACACCTGTGACAGGTAAAACTATGCTTTTCTTGAAAAACAGCGCCATCTGTTGTATGTAAGAGCAACACACATGCTATAGTAAATATGTTACAATTCCATTTCAATATTTCTGATTGCATTGATAAATTGAATTTTTATAGATTTTTATTTTCATTTTGATTTAATTATTTTGTTTGAATTGCATTGGAATTGAGCTGTGTTGTTTACCAAACCGGTCATTTCATGAGTGTAGTTTTTTTTATTTTTTCATATTTTCATTTTATTTTTTAACTTTTTCTTATATTTAAGTGATGAACATCAGATCACTTGGGAAGGCATCGGACGAGGGAGTGGGGAATGGTGGGGAGGACGAGGGGACGGAAGTGAGAGATGGTGGGGAGGACGAGGGGACGGAAGTGAGAGATGGTGGGGAGGACGAGGGGACGGAAGTGAGAGATGGTGGGGAGGACGAGGGGACGGAAGTGAGAGATGGTGGGGAGGACGAGGGGACGGAAGTGAGAGATGGTGGGGAGGACGAGGGGACGGGTGAGGGGGGTGGGAATGGTAGGGAGGACTGGAGCACAGGGAAGGTTGCTGTATCTCAGCAATGTGTGGCCCGGTGCTGCTAGTAATGCAATATTGAAGTTTAACTTAAAAAATAATCAAATAATATTATTATTATTATTAGAATAACAATAATATTATTATTATTCAAATAACAAAAATAAAATAAAGTAAATATTTGAATATTCATAAAAAGAAAAAGAATAAAGCCTGCTAGGGTTTTCACACAAACTTTGAGTTAAATAAAGAATAAAAGTGGGATCACGTGGGGAGCCAGTGCCACTTGGCTCATGTATACATACATATAGCAGATATATATGAAATATAGCGAACAGTGATACGTTGAACAGTGAAGTGGAACGTGTAACAACACATAAATAAATTGAAAGTGCAGAAGTGCACATGGAAAACTAGAAATATAAAATTCTGGCATAAGGAGGCATCACAGTAGGCAGTGTTTACACCACAGACACGAGGTTACCTAGTGTATGGCACGTCCCTCAGTGATAATATACTGGCAAAGTATGTTGACCAGACCACACACTAGAAGGTGAAGGGACGACGACGTTTCGGTCCGTCCTGGACCATTCTGAAGTCAATTGTTTAATGGTCTAGGACGGACCGAAACGTCGTCGTCCCTTCACCTTCTAGTGTGTGGTCTGGTCAACATACTTTAGCCACGTTATTGTGACTCATCGCCTGCATATACTGGCAATATATATATTGTAATACTGGAATGTGGATCTAGGAATTAGTGATATAGTAAGTGAATACCATTGCAAGCCGGAAAGTAAGCAGAAAATCCGTAATGGTAATACAGGCAAATAATCAGTTATCTTGAGGTTATCTTGAGATTATCTTGAGATTATCTTATGAGTGTTATAAGTCAAGGAACTGGTAACTGGTGGCATCCATCCCGCGACCTGGGACAACAACGGTCCACTGTACATCCCGTTGGGACCATTGTCTCTACCACGCGATAAATACCTGCACATAAAGTTGAACAAATAAACATATATAATATTTTAAATATACTGTATACTTATAATATTATATATACACACATATTATAAATATATTCATATATTATAAATAGTAAAATTACTAAAATCAACAAGGGATAAATCAATAATAAATCACAAATAGGAGAACAGACAACCTCTACACCACAAACCCAACATAGAGACGTGTGGCAGCTGCTTTTAAATCACTTCGGAAGAGTGTTGTAGAGATTGTCTGTAACATTTGTAACACAAGATTTCACACGAGTTGTTCAGAATTATCACATACTCTATGCAAACAGACAAGGTACCTGCTGGATCAGTCACAATGATAGACGGATATGGGCAAACATCAAACTAATGAATGACATTCCTGAAGTACATAGGCTGCCATTCACACAACAACTACCAGAAATATATGCAGAGTATGTAAAGACAGCAACGATGACAGAGCACAACCCAGGGACTGAGAGTTTAGAGAGCCAAATTAGCAATGTGGAAGGACATTGTGTCGAGGTACACAAAAACGACAGCAATATCGAAGAGCAAACTGGTAATATGAATAAGGAGAGAAAAAAACTGAGAAAGACGGAAACAAAACTGAGAAAGACGAGAACAAAAATGAGAAAGGTGAAAGCAACAAGGAGAAAGATGAGGGCAGTACCGAGAAAGAATGCGGAAACGAAAAAGTTGGAAGAAAAAACACAGACGCCCCAAAACATAGGTGGCCAAGGCATGCACAGGTAAAAAACAACCAGAATAAAATTACAGCTGAAAATATGTGCAGATATTATGCAAAAGGAAAGTGCAGATATGGGACCAGAGGCACAGATGCACATTCATGCATCCCCGAAAATGCCGAAACATGTTAGGGAAGGGCAGATGTCGTTTTGGAACAGAGGGCAGATATTTACACCCTAAGCTAGTCACTCTCTCAATTAAGGAGAGGAAATGCTATGATCATTGCCCTAATTTCCACGTGAGAGGTACACAGCGCTATATAAGAGAAGAAGTCCAATATAATAGCCCTGAAAATTTTTTAGAGGCAGGTACAAACAGAGGGAGAAACAGACAGGCAGGAACGTGGCAGGAGTACGGATGGAGAGGGGGAAATGCCCAAGACTGGACTACGGTTCGTCATCAAGCCCACACATACTACACCCCCCAACTACACAGAGACTACCACACTCCCCAGTATCACTTCCAAAACTGGACAAACCATTGCCACAACAACACACCCTGGGTCAGGGTAGAGAGGACACACCCTGGGTCAGGGTAGAGAGGACACACCCTGGGTCAGGGTAGAGAGGACACACCCTGGGTCAGGGTAGAGAGGAGGGAGAACTACCAAAACCTTCCAGAAGTTACACACAACATGGACAATCATTCATATTTGCAAACATTCAAGGTTTAAAGCCAAAGTCAAGAAATAAAGTTAAGTTCATAAATGGCCTCCTATTAGAGTCAAACTCAATATTTGGGGCATTCACGGAAACTCATACGAAAGATTACATGGACAGTGAAATCTGGATCTCTAATTATAATTTATATAGATGTGATAGAGAAACTAGGTCAAATGGAGGAGTAGGTCTGTATATTAAAGAGGACCTGGTATGCACAGAACTAATAAACTCAACTAATGAGGTGGTAGAGGTACTTGGAATTAAGGTAGAGAAACTAAACCTAATTATTATTCTAATATATAAACCGCCAGATACAACGGTTGAGGAATTCACAGTGCAGATGCACAAAATAGAAAATATACTTGACAACCTTGCAAACCCAGCTCCAGATATTATCTTCCTTTGAGATTTCAATTTACCGAGTCTAAGATGGAGAACGGCAAACACAAATATCATAGCAGGGAATGACCCGGGAAATGACCAACCACAGGTCAGAGAACTTTTGAGATTCTGTGACAAATTCTCGCTCAATCAACAGATTACAGAACCAACTAGGAACGAAAACACACTAGACTTGTTATTCACAAACAATGATGAACTAATCAGGGATATCACAATCTCAGATACTTCATACTCAGACCATAAGCTCATTGAAGTGCGAACTAGCATAAATAACGGTAGTAGGTCTAAGAGACCCAACAAGCAAGAAGGGGTATTCAATCAATTCAATTTCAACAATAAGAGGATTGACTGGGAAAAAATAATGTAGACCTTGCAACCATTCAATGGGAGACGGTCTTAAGCGACAAAACTCCCACACAGGGAATAGCTCAACTGACAGCTGAAG